GCTTAGCAGTTAAGTGCACGAGCTCCGCTGCTGGCGGCCCGGGTTCGGATCCCAGGTGTGCACCGACACACTGCTTCTCCGGCCATGCTGAGGCCGCGTCCCACATACAGCAACTAGAAGGAAGTGCAGCTATGACATACAACTATCTACTGGGGCTTTGGGGGAAAAAATAAAAAAAATAAAAAAAAAAAAAAAAAGCTTTAAACAAAACAAACAAAAAAAAAACTTAAGACAAAGCCATAACAATAGAAAAAAATACATATATTATCATTGGAACTGAAATCAATCCCAATACATAAGGAATTTTTAAGTAAAATGAAAATGGCCCTTTAATCCATTGGGAAATGAAGCTATAAGTGGTGATCACTCAACTAGCTATCTACCTAGAATGAAATCAAGCTGAATTTCTATCTTCATACCATTTACAGGAAAAGAAATCAGAAGGATTAAAATCTTAAACATACAGAATAAAACCATAAAAATCTTTGGAAGAAGATTTAGGTGACTAAAGGCACAACCTAGGGGCTGGAGAAAATTATTTACCTCAAACAAGAAAACTAAAAGTTATACAGGAAAAAAAAAAGAGCAAAAACTATTATATAGAAAGCAAAAATTTTAATGTGGCATAAGAAAGATTAAGGAAAAAATATCTGCAATGCCTATCACAGATAAAGGATTAATCTCTCACAATATACAAATTCTTTTTTTTTTAAATGTTATCTTATTTTATTTATTTTTTTCTTTCCTTCTTTTTTGTGAGGAAGATCAGCCCTGAGCTAACATCCACGCTAATTCTCTTCTTTTTTTGCTGAGGAAGATCGGCTCTGAGCTAACATCTATTGCCAATCCTCCTCCTTTTTGTTTTTTCCCCCAAAGCCCCAGTGGATAGTTGTTATGTCATAGTTGCACATCCTTCTAGTTGCTGTATGTGGGACGCGGCCTCAGCATGGCCAGAGAAGCGGTGCGTCGGTGCGCGCCCGGGATCCGAACCTGGGCCACCAGTAGCGGAGCACATGCACTTAACCTCTAAGCCACGCGGCCAGCCCTACAAATTCTTACAAAGTTTTCAAAAAAAAGTAAATCACTTAATAAAAGTCAATGGGCAAAGGATATAAATAAGCAATTCATAAAAAATTCTAAATGTCCAATAAATATTGTATTAAGTGCTCAAATTAAAATAACAATGAGCTATCACTCCCCATTCAACACACTGGAAAAAATTAAAAAGAATGATAACACCTACTGCTGGTCAGGGTGCAGGGAAAGCGTACTCTTGTATATTGTGAGTAGAAATATAAATTGTTACAATCTTTTAGAATGCAATCTGGTAATATCTATTAAAATTAAAACTAGACATGCCCCTCCATCTAGTAACCCCACTCTGTAGAATACACTCATATTATGAAATACAGTCATGTACCACATAATGACATTTCAGTCAATGACAGACCGCATATATGACAGTGGTCCCATAAGACTAGAACCATATAGCCTAGGCGTGTAGTAGGCTCTACCATCTAGGTTTGTTTAAGTACCATAGGGGAGGAAGAAATTTTCCTCTACCCTTCTATGTTCTTCTGGCTGGTCTAAGAATTAAATTGACATGAGACAGATTAACAGGGAAAAAACAAAGGTTTAATAACATGTATACATGGAAGAAACCTGAATGACTCACCAAAATGGCCAAAGCCCTCACCTTAAATACCATCCTCAGCTAAAGACAAAAGAAGTGCTGGGGGTAGAGAGAGTCAGGGACGTTAAAGGGAAGGAAGACAATTCACAGGTAGGTGAAAAGCAGCAAACTGTTTGGAAAATAAGTGTTTGGCCACACAGAAACAGAAGAACACAGAGGGGAGCCCAACAAACACGCTTTTCTAGGTTCCTCTCTACCACCTAGTTCATGCTATGCTAAGGAGATTGCTATTTCCTGAGATGGGTTTTCTTTATCTGAATTCTTTTAGGTAGTTAAGGGGGAGGTAACAAGAAAAACTTTATGAGTCTTCGTTTCTTAAAAAATAATCAGCCAAAAATAACTCTCATGTTAAAGAGACACATTTTGGGGTGGTAAATTTTGTTCCTCTTCAGTACACTCTATGATGTTTGCACAACAACAAGATCGCCTAACAACCCATTTCTCAGAATGTATCCCTGTCATTAAGTGACGCATGACTGTATTTGGCAGCCATTAAAAAGAACTAATTAGATCTACATCAGGTAATTTGAGACACAAAGTCATGATGCATCTCGGAATGGAAAAAGGATAAAGAATTTTTTAAATAAAAACAAATTTTTTAATTTAAAAGCAATCCACAAAAAATAATTAAACGTTCATAAAACAGCCTGTTTAATGTGATCCCATTTATATAAAGTCATATATCTTATCTTTATACACAAAGATATCTATGGTGATTGTCATCAAAATGTAGTTATCTCAAAGGTAAGATTTCAGAGGATTTTTACTATCTTTCACATTATTTCTGCATTGTTTAAATTTTCAAGTGTGACCATGTATTATTTATATAATCAGCTTCTGGGTTTTTTTTGTTTTTGTTTTTGTTTTTTGTGAGGAGGATCAGCCCTGAGCTAACATCCATTGCCAATCCTCTTTTTGCTGAGGAAGACTGGCCCTGGGCTAACATCAGTGCCCATCTTCCTCTACTTTATATGGGATGCTGCCACAGCATGGCTTGACAAGCTGTGCATCGGTGTGTGCCGGGAAACCAAACCTGCGAACCCCAGGCCGCTGAAGCGGAGTGCGCGCACTTAACCACTAAGCCACCAGGCCAGCCACTGGGTTTTTTTTTCTTTTTTAAAGCAACTTAGTTACGTTCTTTTCCCTTTCCTTCCCCTATTGAATCAGTTGTCACTTCCTATTAATTTTACCACTGAAATGTTTCCATTTTATATTCCCAGCATTTAATCCTTCCTCATCTCTCTCACCTGTACTACTGAATCAGCCTAGCTAAACACTTGCCTCCGTTATCACTACCAGTTGGCTTCCTATTAAAAAACACACACTCTACTATGCCAACTCCCTCCTCAAAACTTGAGCAGCTCCTCACTGACCATAAAATAAAGACCAAACTACCAAAGCATTCAAGAATCTCGAGTCTCATTCTCAAACTTTTTTTTTTGGTGAGGAAGATTGGCCCTGAGCTAACATCCATTGTCAATCTTCCTCTTTTTCTGCTTGAGGAAGACTGTCCCTGAGCTAACATCTGTGCCAGTCTTTCTCTATTTTGTATGTGGGATGCCACCACAGCATGGGTTGACGAGCAGTGTGTAGGTCCGTGCTTGGGATCCGAACCTGCAAACCCTGGACCGCCAAAGCAGAGCAAGCGAACTTAACCACTATGCCACCAGACCAGCCCCTATCTCTAACTATTTTAACCATCCTGCTCTCATTTGTTTATTCATTCATTTAACAAAGATTTATTGTGTGCCAGACACCATTCTAGCACCTACAATACATCAGTGAAAAAAGAGCCAAGACTGCCTGCCCCAACCTTGTGGAGTTTCTATCCTAATGTGGGAGAGGGGGGAGAAATAGGAAATAAATACAGTGAAGATTATATAGTATACATAGACATAAACATAATGAAGAAGTAAATTATACTATATGTAAGAAGATAATTGTTACGGGAGAGAGAAATGGCATGCTGGCTGGTAGGGGGTCAGTGGAGGTGGGGGGAAGGTTTACACTTTTTAAATAGACTGATCATGGTAGCCCTCATTGAGGTGACATTGAACAGACTTGAAGGTGGTGAGGGGGTCAGCCCTGGGGATTTTTGAGGAAAATGCCCTCCACCCCACCCCAGTGTAAAGGCCATAGGGTGAGAGAGAGCCTGTATGTTCCAGGAATAGCAAAGAGGCCACTGTGGCTGAACCAAGGTGAGAGGAGAGCAGTAAGAGATGAGGTCAGAGAGGCACCAGGATGGCAGTCTAGACCAGAGCATATGGGGCTTCGTAGGCTCAATTATAAGGACTTTGGCTTTTACCGTGAATGAAAAAGGAAATGCAACCAACACCGAGGATGCCTGGGAATTTACATCCTCCCGCGAGCAGTCCTTAACTGACAGATGCGTGGTTAAATTGTGAAGCTCCCTTGTCCCTGACTAGGACAACTCTGAGGTATAACCCACACTCACTCCAGAGCTCCCCGACAGGACCAAACCAGAGTAACTTTCCATGGAGCACACCTCTGCATGGCTTTCTCTTTTCCATGTCCCACCTGCCCACAACCCTGCTGGTTTTTCCTAGGAACACTTTCTAAATTACATTTACACGAATCTTTGTCTCAGGGTTTGCTTCTGGAGAACTCAATCTAAGAGAGGAAGCTACCACAGAGGTTTATGTGAGATCTGGCATGATTTATTCAACAAATTGAATGCTGAACCACTAACTGTTCTGAAAATATATAATTTCATACGCCCATGTCTTCACATGCTAGTATCTTTCCTAAGAAATAACGACTCCTTTCTTCCATCTCCATTGGAAAAGCTGTACTTATTTTCCAAAATGCAGACTCAAACGATGTTACTTTCTGCATAAAATCCTTTCCAGTCTCTTATGGCAGCATGTTTTCAGGGCAGTGACTCTACCAGAACAAATTGAAGGATCAATTGTCTGCATTTTCTATTTCTATTTAGACTCAGATCATTGAGAAGAGACTTTATCTTGTTTTTTATAATTATTTCCCAAAGTGTCTATCTAACACAGTGCTTTGGACATAGTAACGGTCAATACAACTTACTGAATTTCTGATAACTCCTTGTAACTTTTCATTCTCATACGGGACCTAATGTTAACCTCACAAAAACCTCAATTTAAATCTAAACAATATGTGGCAGAAGTCAACTAATTTTAATATGATTGAGTTTTTTGTTTTTTACATGGAGACTTGATTCCAACAGTTTTTATGCCTTGGCTATAAAGAAGGAGCACAGAGAATCTGGGCATTTAAGAAACACACACACTATAAAATGTCTTACGATACTTACTTTGGGGAGAGCACCGGAGGACTGACAAAAGACCGAAGTGCATCTTTCACCATGTCTTGCATGAGATGGGTTCCAAAGACCTTTTTGTTATCCACCAGGAAAGTGGTCTTAAAACAAATGTTATATATTAGTAATGTTATCACGATCTTGATCTACTGTACATATAGTTGTCATTACTGTGACGTAAGCATACTTCTTACAAATACCACAGAATACAAAAGAGATTAAAAAACTAAAAGTTGGAAAATTTTTATAAATCACTGCCTCCACAACAGGTACTATTTATTAACCCCTATTTAAGGTGTATTCTGATGCAGGAGAATAAAATACGTGTAGAAAAAAATCTCTCAAGTCAAGAGTAGTAATATGAAGTGACCAAATATGTCAAATGAGCTAATATATAATGAAAGCGCTTCACAAATTATGAAATATTAAATGGCTATAACTACTAAGCTAGTCAATAATCTTTACTTCTAATGAACACTTTAGAATACATACAATCTTTCTGAAATTTGAAAAAATTATATTTAAAAGAATACATTATTTAATAATAATTTACATTTAATTTTCTCCCCTTAACAACCTCAGTGTATTTTAATATTTACTATACTATACTTTACTTGATTCCTAACACATTTGGATTGTTTCCAGTTTTGGGTGAACATAAACCAAACAGCTATAAACATCTGCATACAAGTTTCCAAGAGGCCATCAGATTCTACTTCTCTTAGGTAAACATGCAGGAGCGGGATCTGTGTATTTATTTTTATAAGAATCTGCCAAATTGTTTTCTGAAGTGGCTGTAGCACTTCACGTTTCCTTCTATCAGTAATGCATCCTACCACCACTTGGTATTGTCAGTTTTTCTTTCTTTCTTAAAATATTCTGAAAGGTGGACAGTTACATTTCATTGTGGTTTTAATTTGCATTTCCCTAACACTAATGATGTTGAATATCATTCCATATTGAAGTGTTCAAATTTTTTGCCCATTTAAAAAACTGAGTTTTCTGTTTTGTTATATTTATAGAATTCTTTATATGTTCTAGATACAAGTCCTTTGTCAGACATGATTTGCAAATACTTTCTCCCACTCTGTTGTCTCCTTTCCTTTTCCTAACAGTGTCTTCCACAGAATTAATTTTAAATTTATCAATTTATCACTTTTTTATGGATTGTACTTTTGATGTCATACCTAAGAATTCTCTGCCTTCTCCAAAGTCACAAAGATTTTCTCCTATCCTTCCTTCTAAAAGTTGTATAGTCTCACATTTTATATTTAGGTCTATAATGCATTCTGAGTCATATGCATTGCATATGCCTCTCCAACTGTTCTTGCACCATTTGTTGAAAAGACTACCTTTTCTCCATTGATTTGCCTTTGTGCTTTGTCAAAAATTAATTGACCGTATTAAATATTGATCAGTTAATTGACCACATTAGTCAATTAATAAAGGACTATATAATACACTACTATATAATAAAGGGCTAATTAAAGAACAGAACTTTCTGGACTTTCCTCTTGGTTCCACTGATCCATGTGTCCATCATTTTGCCTAATACTACACCTGTCTTGAAGTCAGGTAGTGTGAGTTTCCCAATTCTGTTTGTTGTTTTTCAAAATTGCTTTTGCTGTTCTAATTCCTTCGTGTTTCCATATAAATTTTAGAATCAGCTTGTTGACATCTATAAAAATTCCTACTACGATTTTGAGTGAGACTGCTTTGAATCTGTAGATCTATTTTGGGGAGAAGTGACATCTTAAAAGTACCAATTCTTCCAATCCACGAACAAGGTATATTTCTTCATTTATTAGGTCTTCTTTGATTTCTTTCATCAGCACTTCATAGTTTTTCAGCACACAGGTCCTATAAACAGGTGTTAGGTTTATAGATTTCACATTTTGATACTATCGTAAATAGTACTGTTTTTAAAATTTTGATTTCCCATTGTTCGTTGCCAAGTATATAGAAATACAATTGCTTTTTGACCTCATATCCTATGATCTTGTTAAGCTCACCCATCAGGTCTAGGAACTTCTTTGTAGATCTCTTGGCACTCTACACAGAAAATCATGTTCTCTGTAAACAGACAATACTTCTTCCTTTCTCAACTGTATGCCTTTTCCTTCTTTTTCCTGCCTTTTTTCACTGGCTAAGATTTCTAGTACTATGTTGAATAAGAGTGGAGTAATGAGAGTGGACATCCTTGCTTTCTTCCCAATCTTAGGAAGAAAGGATTTAATCTTCATCTTTAAGTATGATGTTAGCTGTAGGTTTTTTGTACATGCCTTTTATCAGGTTAAGGAAGTTCTCTTCTATTCCTAGGTTTGCTGACAGTTTTCTTTTTTTTAATCATGAATGGTTGCTGAATTTTGTCAAATGCTTTTCCTGAATCTATTGAGACTTTAGATTGTATAATGAATTAAAATGACTGATTTTCAAATGTTGAACCAGCCTTGCATTCCTGGGATAAAACCCACTTGGTCATGATTTTTTTTTTTCTTTTAAATATATTGCTGGGTTCAATCTGAAAATACTTTAAGATTTTTGTACCTATGTTCACAAGGAATATTGGTCTATAGTTTCTACACTTGTAATGTCTGTTTGTCTTTGGTACTGAGGTAATGCTGGCCTCATGTGACAAGTGTTCTTGCCTATTCTATTTTCTGGAAGAGACTGGAGAATTGGCCTGGAGTGTTCTTTGTTGGAAAGTTTTTAACTAGGAATTCAATTTCGTTAATAGACAGGATTTTTCAAGTTATCTACTTCTTCTTTAGTGAGTTTTGGTAGAGTCCTTCATGGACTTGGTCTATTTCATCTAAGTTTTTGAGTTTATGGACACAGAGCTATTTATAATATTCCCATATAATCCTTTTAATGTGTGTAGGGTCTGTAGTGAAATTCGCTCTTTCATTCCTGATACTATTCATCTGTATCTTCTCTCTTTCTTTTTCTATCTGGTTAGAAGTTCATTAACTTTATTGATATTTTCAAAGAACCAGCCTTTGGTTACACTGATTTTCTCTATTCTTTATCTGTTCCCTATTTTACTGATTTCTGCTTTTATCTTTATTTCCTTCCTTCTGCATGCTTTGAGTTTAATTTGCTCTTCTTTTTCTGCTTTTTTAAAGTAGAAGCTTAAATTACTAATTTCAGATCTTTTTTTTTCATTTGAACATTTAATGTTCATATGAATGTTTAATGAACATAAATTTCCCTCTAAGCACTGCTTTAATTGTATCCCACAGATTCTGATATGTTATATTTTCATTTTCATTCTAATTTAAGACTTCCTCTTTGATCCATGGGTTCTTCAGTGTGTGTTTATTTCCAAATATTTGGAGAATTTTCCAGATATCTTTCTGTTACTGATTACATTTAATTCTGAAATAGTCAAGAGCATATTTTCTATGATTTCAATTGTTTTAAAACTATTAAGGCTTGTTTTATGTCCCAGGATATGACCTTGATGAATGTCTAACATTCTAAGTCAATACTTCTATCAAAAAATATAACACTAACTGTGGAATATCCTTTAATAGCATCTACCTTTTGTTCCATCAATCAATAAAACAATGTCAACACACATATAATTTGATATTTAAAGAAGTATTCTGATACTAAGTAGAACTTACTTGTAACAGAGATCTTGAAAGAACACAAGGTGACTGTTCACTGAATTCACAGAAAAAATCCTGATACACAGAGAAAAAGTAATGTCATTAATACATTAAATAAAAGCTGAAGATGTTTGTATATAGAGTGTAATTTTTGCTAGACCTTCTGGAAATGATATACTACCAGAGTTAAAATATGAAAAATAGCTGAAGATCATTTCTACAGGAATTGTCTAACTGTATCAATGGGACAATGGATAATTTTAGAGCCTAATTTGTTTATAACGAACTGACCAATAATAGTATTGTGTAGATACCAATATTAAATTTGTACACCATGAAAATATATCAATAATAATTTATAACTAATGGCAGAGGTTTACTTCCCACTTCACAGAAATAAATATTAAGTAACCAGGCCAATTAAATTCATATTACTGACTATTACTGACTCTACACAAACATCAAAAGATACACTTAGAAAACTACATATGGATTTATACACAAATAGAAAAAAAAGATAAGAAAATACACTGAAATGTTAATATCTATAGATTATAGGACAGTTATTTATCATCATATTTTTCTGCATTTTCCAAATTTTATAGTTAACTAAAAATGTATGTATTTTAACATTTGGATTTGGGTTTGTAAATTATAGACAGACATCTGGGCTTGTGAACATCTATGCCGTTGCTGTAGGCTGGCAGTCAGAGAATAAAAGACATAGAACCCATAAGCTTCCTCTTATGGATGACTATCACTGTGGAAAATAATCCTAGACAATTACAGGCAGCACTTTTTCCCACTGAGCCCTCTACTGTAGCCTAAGGACTGATCCCCCCTGCCCCCCACCTTAGCACAGTATTCATCAATGACTTTGAGCTGGTATTCAAGATGAACCTTTCTGCCAACGAACTCCATTCAAGGAAGGCAATATTACTCCTAGGCTTGGAAAGTTACTGCTCTTTTTATTATGTAACATCCCTAAAATGAGAAGGGTGAAAGTGGGAGAGGGGAAGACAAAGGGAAGGAGAGTGGGAGTAAAATGAAGTGGTGGGAAAATCAAGGGGTGAGGGAGATAAAAAGGGGAGGAAAAACTTTTTCAAGGGCTATTAAAATATGCTCAATTAAGTATCATCTATTTATTTATTTATTTTTTTTACTTGAGGAAGATTCGCCCTGAGCTAACATCTGTGCCAACCTTCCTCTATTTTGTATGTGGGACGCTTCCACAGCATGGCTGACGAGTGGAGTAGGTGCAAACCTGGGCTGCCGAAGCAGAGTGCGCAGAACTTGAACCACTCGGCCACAAGACCAGCCCCAAGTCTCACGTATTTTTTAAAAAACGGTTTTCTTTACTCCTTGAGCTGTTATCCCTTCTGGTTATCATCTCATGACTCTTGACTCTTCTTCATCATTTTGAATAGCCATGTACCATGTTTTAAATTCTCTCCTCTCCTAAAGGAGACAAACCTTGTACTTTTCAGTTACATTTACTATCTTTATGATCACTCATTCTAGCTCCTTTATTGGCTCTTTTTTATCCCAAATTATAAGTATGGATAGCCTGTCTGCTTTTCTTTCTATACTTACTCCCCAGACTCGTGATTCTCAATTTAAATGCGTGTTCTGCCAAAATCTAACAAGTTTCTCTAGTCAATTCATTATCTTCTTTCACAATTAACTTTTACACCTTGCACACCCTCCTCAAAGCGAATACTCTCCAGAGAGACGTCCTCCCATTCCACATTACAAAGAAAATAAAAGTCATCTATCTAACAGGAAATCCCTCAACTTTAGCCTCTAATCCCCTAACTGGACCCACATCTGTACCAGACCCTTTCCTTGTTTACTTTAATAATGGAAGTCCTTCACTTGTCCTAAAGACTCCATTCCTTCCGGCTTTCTCAGGAACATTACACACTGTCAATTATCCATCCTTTGCTCTCCTATATATTACACGTTCTCCCTCTCTACTAGATTTGAACATTTACATTTACATTTAAACAGTCAAGTTTTTCCCATCTTTAAGAAGAAAAAACTGTCACATGATCCCACATTTCCCTCTCAACTGTGCCCTCTGAGCCAAACTTTCTAAAGGAGTTGGCTGGCACTACTGTCTCTACTTACTCAACTCCCACTGTTTTCAACACACACTGGCCTAGCTCTTTGCTCTAATCACCACTGTCCCCTGTCACTAAATCCAATGGACATTTGTATTGGACCTTATTCATCTCTTTCACTTGACCTCTCAGCAGCATCTGACATGACTTCCTTCTTGAAAAACCTTTTAAATTGACTTTCATGAGTTTCTTCCTCTTTGGCAACTTCTCAGTCTGTTCTGTAGATTCAAAGTTTAATTCTAGACTACCTTCTTTTCTTAATCTATATACTTTTTTCCTTATAATCTTATCCATATCACACTTCAATTACCAACTGTGCTGTAATAATCCCAAAATTCTAACTCTAGCACAGACCTCTAAACTCTACCAAAACCTATTCGATATCTCTACTTAAATATTTCAAACATACCCGAACAACTCTACCCTACTTCATTAAGACCCTCATTTGCCTCCAAAGGTCCCCTTTGAGAATTTCCCCATTTCAAGGAACAGCACCAAATTTGCATCTAGATTTGCAGGTCAGAAACCTGGAGACCTTCCTGAGAGCTATCTCATACCCCACATTTAATTTATTACCAATATCCAATCAATTTTAGCTCACACATAGCTCTAATTCTAACGACCTTACCTCACCATCTCCCTGACATCCTTTAAGTCCAAGTTACCATCCTTTCTCCCTTGGGCTACAGTAACGATTTCTTAATTTGTTTCCCTGTGGTTACTCTGTTCCCTTTCAATCTTTTCTCTACAATGCAGCCACATCTTTGCAAATTCTTAATCCATTTATGTCACCCCTCCACTCATACTAATCTTGCATAAAACTCTAATGGTTTTCCTTTGCTCTATGATAAAGGCCAAAATCCTTAACGTGACTTAAATGACCTTGTTGAACTGCCTATCTCTCTAGCCTTACCAAATCCCCCATCCCCATCATGGCAAGCTCCACTCTGTTCCTTTTCTTTTAGTATCTCAAATGTATTATGTTCTTTCCCATCACGTGGAGTAGCACAGCTTCCTTCAGCTGGAACTGCCCTCTACTGTCCCAATGAATGTCTACCTAACCTTCAGATCTAGGCTTTACCTTCATTTCCTTAAGAAAGCCTTCTTTGATCATCAAAGTTAATTCCTTCAATATATATGTTCCAGTTCCTTTCCTTCCTTCACTTACTTTGGTTTGTAATTCTACAATCATTTCTACGAGTATTTGAAAATTTTCTGTCTCACACTACATTGTAAGCCCCATGACAATATGGATAATACGCTTTTGCTCATCATATACTGGTCTAGCACAAAGAAAGTACTCAATGATGTTGGCTGAATGGATGAACATACGTATCCTCACCCTCACAGTTCATTTGTACTCCTTGTCTTATTGCTAATACACATCCCTAACAGAATATATTCTATTAAGTCCATTATTTACCTCATCTAAACTAGGTATCTTCCTAATTACTCCATAGCTGTCAAAAGTATCATCTTATGGGTTCCTAATCTACGACTTTCCCTTAACTAATTTCTCTACCTTCCTCCCTTACCACTATGGTTTCTTCTCTATATGCAAAATATCAAAAACTTTGAAAATGCAGAAAAACGCAAAGAATAAACTATCATCCAGCACTCCATTTTATTTGTTATCCCAATCTTTTTTAAAACTGAATTTGGCTCTGTCTCTGACAATCTTTTCTGTGTGCAACAATGTATAAATGGATATTTTTATTTTTTTTCCCCAAAGCCCCAGTAGATAGTTGTATGTCATAGTTACACATCCTTCTAGTTGCTGTGTGTGGGACGCGGCCTCAGCATGGCCGGAGAAGCAGTGCATCGGTGCGCGCCCAGGATCCAAACCCGGGCCGCCAGCAGCAGAGCGCGCACACTTAACCGCTAAGTCATGGGGCCAGCCCTAAATGCTAAGTCATGGGGCCAGCCCTAAATGGATATTTTTAAACCTAACGACATTCATAAACATTTCCCCATGTCAATATTTTTCTATAACATGCTCATTAATGGCTGTATGACAGATATTCTAATCATATCATAGAATGGATGTCACCACTGGGTATTTAAATAGTTTCTAGTTTTTTTTTTTTGTGAGGAAGACCAGCCCTGAGCTAACAACTGATGCCAATCCTCTTTTTGCTGAGGAAAACTGGCCCTGGGCTAACACCCGTGCCCATCTTCCTCTACTTTATATGGGACACCGCCACAGCACGGCTTGACAAGCAGTGTATCGGTGCATGCCCAGGATCCAAACCTGCGAACCCCAGGCCGCCGAAGCGGAGCACTTGCACTTAAGTGCTATGCCACCAGGCTGGCCCCAACAGTTTCTAGTTTTTTAGGATGACAAAGGAGGATGCAACAAACACCTTTTAGTGCCTCTTTGCACATCTGAGATTATTTTTTCTTACACTAAATCTCTAGAAGGGAAGTTGCCAGGTCAAAGCATACACAATTTTAAGACTTTTGAGAGAGACAGCCATTGGAGTACAGGAAAATGACTATTTCCCTTTATCAACATTAAATATCACTCTACTTTTCAATCTAGTTATTATAAATTGCATTTCTTTAATTACTAGTAAGGTTAAGTCTTTTTCATGTTTACTTCTTTTAAATGTGTGCTCGTGTCCTCTCCCAATTTTTCATTGGGATGCTTATGTTTATCTGATTGATATGTAAGCACTCTCTATAATCTGACACTTTGTCCTAATAGTAAGAGGTTTCTTAAGCAGATTCACCAGACTATTTGGTCTCTTATCCTCCCCCTAATTTTAATCTTTTCCTCTATTCTTGGACTCTGTCACACTACTCAACTATTACCACCTATTCCTCCATCCCAAGTCTTCCAGGGATCCAGACTCGTCTCCTACTTTGCCCTCTTCATGTCCAGTGCCAGCAGTCCAGGGCTGTGGCTGCCCCAGCACCCCTCTATTATGGTGTGTCATTATGCATTTACTCTCCTGACAAGGCAATCCATAATCTTCTGCCAGAATATCAAATTCCAACTGTTGCATTATACTTTCTTATTCCAATTTACAATCATCTTCTCCTTTTCTAAAATCCTATCAATCTGGTGAACATAAAACATATCAATGTAATAATTAAAGATCAGAAAAGCAGATGTAGCAGAAGAGTAAGAAAATCTCTATTCAAAATCCAGACATGCCAATAACCAATCATCTAATTTAGTTACGAGCCCTCTAAAACTTAGTTTGTTTAGCTGTACAATAAATTGCAAAATGAATTGGTTTTTGTCTATCATCTTTTCTACCTTTATAATTCTGTGACTCTTATGACAGAATAAGGCATACTGCTAAAAGAAAGCAAACACAAAAGGAGGTAATAAAGGCATAATTAGTGAAAGTTTCACTAAGGAATGAAGACTTAAGTTAGGCTTTAATGACAAAGAATTAGCAGAAAGGAAAATAAAGTTAGTACAAGAAAGAGCATTAAAAAAAGCGCAAATCTTTATTGACCATCAACTACATCCCAGAGGCTACTGTTAAATTCTAGGACTATAAACTAGATAATTTGTTACCTCAAGGAACGCAGGTAAAGAAGCAACCTGGAACTAGCAAGGAAGACTTCAGAGGAAATGACTTGGGGCTAGGAATTATGTACCTCAGCATACAGGGGGAACAACAATCAAATGTATATCTATGCATAGTCATGCAAAATAAATTAGTGTACGTATGTCTAAATAACAACAGTATTATTTTGCATATCTTCTATCTTCCTACTAATCTTATATGTCACTATAACCTCATCAATTAAGAAACATCCATCTCTGAATGTTTTAATATTCCCAACATAAACCTTGTTTTTCTATATTTTAACCCATAAAAAAGATTAATCCAAAATATGTTAGCTTAAAAATGTACATACTCTTTTACCCAGCAACTTCATTGTTTAGGACTTTATCTTAAGGGGGAAGGAAGTACAGGATATTAAGATTTACCTACAAAGATGTTCATCTTAGTATTGTTTGTAACGGTAAAACACTGAAAATGACCTAAACGTAATTCAATATTAATAGACTGGAAAAAACTGTGGTATATGCGTACAATAAAATACCACGTAGCCATTAAAATAATGTAGAAATATGTGTACAGTCATGCGCCACATAACGATGCTTTAGTCAACGATGGACCACATATACGAGAGTGGTCCTGTAAGATCAGTTCCATATAGCCTAGGTGTGTAGCAGGCTATACCATCTAGGTTTGTGTAAGTACACTCTATGATGTTCGCACAAAGACTAAATCTCCTAACAACACATTTCTCAGAATGTATCCCCATCATTAAGCAACGCATGACTGCATTTGTTGACATGAAAAAAAAGATGTTCATGATGTAGAAATTAATGATTAAAAAAAGCAGATTACCAAACACCATGATCCAATTTTTCTAAGAAAAAATATTTATACATATGCACATATATATGTATGCATATGTACACACACATACGCATTCATATAAAAGGTTCTGAAGACAGAATCCAGGGTTCAAACTCTTCATTTGTAAAACTTGGGTGAATTATCTAACCTCTCTAAACTTTAGTTTCTTAATCTCTAAGATGGATAGTATAAAATTCTTACGAGGATTAAACATAAAAAAGAAATATATATACACCACTTAATCCTCCAGCTATCACAGAAAATAAGTAAGCAGTATTATTTATGCTTGGGACAGTCAGTCTCTAAAAAGTGATAACTTATTCTGTTGTTAAATCAAAGTTATATTCCAGAATAGAGATTTGTACTTACCAGAATACAATGTAAATTTGTTAAATTGACCACCTCACAGACAGTTTTTATTCTATCTATTAATCTTGCAAAATAGTTGACCATTTCTTCCCTTTTAATTATTTTTGCATATCGAGGGAAGGTGGGTGGAAGTAGTCTCTGGTTAACAAGGGGCTCAAAACCCATCATAATCGGATGATCTAAAAAAAAAAAAAGATTTTCAATATTTCTCTGAATTTTAAACCTCAAATACTACTAAACATAAAGATAAAAAGGCCAGTTTCAAAAGCATCTCCCAACACAATTCTAATCACAATGTTCTCTAAATGTATTTTATAATTTACAATTAATGTATCTATACATACGCATTTTTTAAAAAGAGAGAAGCAGATTTAATAACCTAAAATTGTACTTCCTACCCACATGGTGGTAGCAGAGGTGATGAAGAGAGATTTCTACCTCAGAATTAACTCCAAGCCAAGAATGTGATAAACAGGGTTAATATATTTCCTAGGGGGAAAAAAGGCATTAACTACTGCATTAACTATGAGATTGTAAAGAAAGGTAAAAAGGGAACATAAATGTAGGTTTGTCTTCCCTTCAATTATTGAACCATAGAATCAATTCAAACTTAGCCACATAATAATGCAAAAACATCAAGAGGAGAACTGTGCCCACCCAACTCCCAGGAGTCCAGACCGCATTTGGAACTGAGACATAATAACAGAAATTCACAATGAAAATAACATTACAAGAAACCCAAAGGTGAGTCCTTCTTTCCCCTTCTCTGTCCCCTGGTGCTCTCACTTTTCACACTAGTGCAAAGTTCCAAACTAAGTCTTTCTCAACTTGAAATCTAAAATGAGGAAGTATATCGCTGAAGCAAGAAGTGACTAAGAATTTTGGATTCCAAGTTCTCTTGCTGGAGTCAAACAGGCTGCAAATCAAGAATAAATAAAAATAGTTTCAAATGTCACTGAAAGTTAAAATTAAAGCTGAGCAGACATCATTAAGAATTACAAGCAAGACTGATACTTAACCAAATTACAACAATGCTCCTGAGACATACTCCATAATTGTTCCTAAGCATCATGCAAATAAAGATGTTATGTTCCCCAGGGTTTTTGGCCGTCTTGTCTTCTCCATACTGAAGTTCTCCCTCTTCAAAGTTAACTTATTTTTATATAAATTCCAATTTAGCTGATGATGTCCAGACTAAAATCCTTAGCCCACAATCTTTCTTCTGAGTTTCAAACCTATGATTTCTAACTACATAACAGACATTTCTACCTTGGTGTCCCACACCATCTCAAAAAGTGCATGTCCCCAAACTACCTTTGTCTTTCCCCAAACACTGCTTCTCCTATGTTCCCTTTCTCAGTAAAATGACAAACTGTCCTTACTATTGCTTAAGCCAGAAACTTCGGTGTCTCTTCTCACCTCTTCATCTGCTTCATTTAATTAGTCTATAAGTCCTAAGTATTACACTTCCTAATCTCTACCCAATCTGTCCCTCCTCTTCACTCTTGCTGCCACTGTAATGCTTTACCTAGCTTTCCTGCACTGACTGCTCCCTCATTAAATTAGTCCTATATACTGCCACCTCAATTGTTTTACCTATATTTCAACCTGATCTCACTCCCCTAACCTCAAAATTTTGTTGACTATTACATACAGTACAAATTCTCTGGCAGGGCACCGGAAGGTGCTTTACAATTTCCTGCCACTCCTATAGAAAAAAATTTTGTACGCCAATGGCAAACTACGCATTGTCAGATTGATTCTATAGGAGTTATTTTACAAATTGATAAATTGTAGGTAACTAATATATATGCAAATTATGTCCAGTCTGGCAGAGATTCAACTGACGCCCCCCCAAACTCTATAGAAAAAGTTTTGTCTCTGCTTATAATTTATTTCAACATTCCATTACTCCATATAAATCTGTACATTTTAAAACTTTTCATGTCTGGCCATTTCACTGAACGAATTTAACAAAATCCTTAACACATATTATATCTGCATGAGAGTCATGGTTTTGCCTTTTTCTAACAATCATCTTTTAATGCTTTCTATTCCCTAAACACCATGAGCTATACAGTGACTTACAAATATCATGTTCTTTTATGCCTCTTTACTTATACACAAACTATTCTCTACCTGTAAAGCCCATCCCCCTTCCTGCCCTTGTTCTTAGCCTAGGAGACTTGATATAGCTTGAATTCCCTCTCATCCTCAGTCTTCCCCTAGTACTTTGTACATACCCTACTACACCGTGTGAGATGGCAGCATTTGTCCCTCTCTCTGACTTCTTTTGAAAGCAGGAACTGGCTTGTGTCCCAAACACTTAAATGCCAGGCTCATAACAGGCACTGGAAACATGTTTACTGAATGACAAGACATGTACGCTCAAAATAAAATGAAAGACTGCTACCACTATAATAAAATAGTTTTAATTTCTGATTTATCACACTTCATTTAGAACTGAAGTAAAGTAGTAGCAACAATGCTGTAAGAAACTTCTTTACCATACCAACATGAATACACTTTAATGATAAATGCACAGAACCCAGATACTTAAATAGTACATTACCCTTATTTTCCCTCAAAGCATTCTAAAATGCATCTAAAATTATTACCCAGGAATAGTCTTTTATTCTTAATTCACATACTTTTAGGCTTTAAACCACAAGTCAAAGATAAGAGCCACTCATGAAAATCTTTATTACCAGGGAAGGAAGTAAATGGTAATGAGAAATCAGTAACAAATACAATATATTCTGTATTACGTTCATTTTTATACAAACTAAAAGTACAACATAAAACAGTATCACCTTCTGAAAGTAATTCAGCTGTCCCGCACACTATAAGGTGTTTAGCAGCATCCCTGACCTTTACCCACTAGACGCCAGTAGCACCCCCAACTGTGAAGAACACAAATGGATCCAACACTGCCAAATGTCCTGGGAGGACCCAATTGGGAAACACTGGTCTAGACAATACAATAAGCAACTATAATTCACTGTAGATAAGCTCAGAAAGTAATAGGAGCATCTAATCAATGGAAAAATCAGACGAAAGACTCCCAAGAAGAAGTGAAGTCTAAGGAAAGACCTAAATGATGAGAAGTTAGTCAAAGCACAAAACATTAGGCAGAACAAAGTATTCCAAGCACATCAAAGGCCCAGAGGACAGAGAATATGGCTCCTTTTCTTTTTTCCTTAGGGAGTTGTAATTTTCCAAGTCATAACTTCCTGAGTCAAACTCAGGAAGTAAAAATAGATGCATATAAATAGAGTGGGGACCAAGTCCCTACGCATAAAGTTAGAAGTTGTCTGTATGCTTCTCTCCATTCTCCGCAAACATTTAAATTTTCCCCTTACATTTTTCTGAACATAGTCCTTGTTAATTGGTAAAGTGGTTCCTAGTAGCTATTTTTAAGTGGCAGCTGTTGTTGAATCTCATGCAAAAGGACTCTGCCACCACCCTATACAAAACATAATAACTTGCCTGAGTAGAAATGAGCTAAGAACTGAGCTATAATAAGAGATCAAAGCAGTTACTCAGGATGCAGAATAGAGTTGAGCAGGAGAGGGGCTAAAAGCCTGGCAGGGGTTTGTGTTTGGTTTCACGGCAACATCCACTATGAAATGCTAAAAGAAGCTTTACCACACCCAAACCCCTCCCAGAATAAACTGCTCTAACATTTGCCCACTATACTTCATGTATCTATCTCTACCACACAATTTATCTCAGACTGTCTTATATTAAAATAATCTAAATAGTCCTTACTAAACGACCTCAGAAAAGAACATAATTCACCTTTCTACCCAGCGTGTACTTTGGTCAATAAATTTTTCCTGAATTGAACTGGATACATATCAGACAAGATAACTTCTAAACTCTCTTCTAATTTTACAAGTCTGTAGATGTAGAAAAATTTTCTTGGTTTTCCAGTTAAAATACTTCATATATAAAATGCTTCTTAGTACAAGAAGGCCAAATAAGATCATTTTCCCTTGATACTAACACTTTTAAAAATAAAATATAGTTACTATTTTCAAAATATGATGGCGCATTGATTTAGAGTGTTTTAGTTACTAAAATTCTTGTTAGATAACTGGTCTACATTATTAATAGCAGAAAAGCATTATAAACAGCACAAGGTCTTTGGATAAAAGATTTATAGTAACAATGTGCTTTGATTTAATTTAGCAAAGTAAGTTATTCTAAAATTGATTAGATGCCAAAATTAGAGATCTGGAAATGTTTTAGTCGAGACAACACATCTCTTCCAAGTTACATAGACAATTTCCAGTTAGATTTATTGAAATAATGAGTTTTGGATGCCCTCAAGTTGGAAGGAATTCTGAAAAACAATGCTGAAGCTGCCAGGGTTTTGTTATGTTATTCTGCACTTCTTGGCTACTTGATTTCCTTTTTTTCCTTTCCTTCCATTTTCCTAAAATGTTGTAACACTATGCTATGTGACATAGCCAGACACAAAAGGACAAATATTGTATGATCCTACTTATATGAGGAACCTAGTATAGTCAAATTCATAGAAACATAAAGTAAAACAGTGGTTACCAGGGGCTAGAGGGGGGGGGGGTTTTTTTTTTTTTTTTTTTTAAAGATTTTATTTATTTATTTTTTCTCCCCAAAGCCCCAGTAGATAGTTGTATGTCATAGCTGCACATCCTTCTAGTTGCTGTATGTGGGACGCGGCCTCAGCATGGCCGGAGAAGCGGTGCGCCCGTGCGCGCCCGGGATCCGAACCCGGGCCGCCATCAGCAGAGCACGAACACTTAACTGCTAAGCCACGGGGCCAGCCCGGGAGTTATTGTTTAATGAATACAGGGTTTTAGTTTGGGAAGATGAAAAGTTGTGTAGATGGATGGTGGTGATAGTTGCACGACAATGTGAATGTACTTGATGCCACTGAATTGTACACTTAAAAATGGTTAAAATGGCAAATTTTGTTATGTATATTTCACCGCAAAAAAAGTTATAAAAAGGCATTAAATCACACCTGTTAAACTCAAAAGGCATGGTCTCAATGAATATTCTATCCTAATCACAGGTCCAAATAACTTATGGTGTAATATATGCACATCTACATATTTTGAAGTTCTTTGGTGTACATTTTTGAATAGGTATACGTGCAAATGATAAAGGTTTCAAATAAAACAAAAGCGTA